ATTAACTGCCCTCAAGTTGACTTCGACCTCTGATGACCCTATGAATAAGACATCTCCAAAACACCCTATCCTCAATGGCCCTGCTCAGTTCCTGCAGGCAGAAACTGCAGTCCCCTTTGATTGAGTCTATCCATCTGGTATGTAGTCTTCCTCTCTTCCTATAGCCTTTTATCCTTCTGAACATTGATGTCTTTTCTAATGAGTCATATTGGCTCATGATGTGCCCAAAATATGACAGCCTCAATTTAGTAATTCTAGGCCTTAGGGATAGTTCAGATCTGATTTGTTCTGGGACTCATTTGTTTGACTTTTTAGCCATCCACAATATCCACAAAACTCTTCTTCAGCACCACATCTCAAAATGAATTAATTTTCTTTCTGTCACCTTTCTTTACAGTCCAGGTCTCACTCCCATACATAGTGAAGAGAAATGCAATGGTTTGAACAATCCATACTTTAGTGTTCAGTTGTATATCTAATAATAATAATAATAATAATAATAATAATAATGTTTTTTATTTATATCCCACCTCTCTGTATACCACAACTGGGATGGCTTACACAATAAAACATACAGTCCCTTCTCCCAATAGCCCCCCCCCCCCCGCAATACAATTAATTATAATTTAAAACTTACTTACATACAGATAAATAACAAATGACAAATAAATTAAAATAACTGTAACAACAATCAGGGTCAGACATAACCTTTTCAGTTATCTTTGCACTTTAGGACCTTGTCTAGTTCTTTCATAGCTGCCCTTCCCAGTCCCAATCTTCTTCTGATTTCTTGACTGCATTCTCCATCCAATTCAATGATTGATCCAAAGCATGGAAAGTGTTCATTTCAGTTTCCTCATACGGCTTCCCCTAACTCGAGGGCCTTTGCAGACTGCCAGAAATAGTGCAAATTGAGTCCACTTTAACTGCCCTGACTCAGTGCTAGGGAATCATGGGAATTGTAGTTTATTGTGGCACCAGAGCTCTCTGACAGAGAAGGCTCAATGTCTAAGAAAAAAAATACAATTCCCATGATTCCCTAGCACTGAGCCAGGAGAGTTAAAGTGGACTCAATTTGCACTATTTCTAGCAGTCTGCAAAGACCCTTAATGACAGGCTTTGGTTGATCCATTTTCTATGACTGCACCAAATTATTTCACAGCAAACCATCAACCCTCTCTGATTCTTTTAAAATGTCTTTAAATTATGTGTTGGATGAATCAAGCCATGGGAACAAAAGGCACAATAGGTAATGACTGGATGGACTAGAAAATAACATAAACATCTAATGGTGCAGTAAAAGAGGCAGCAGCAGTTGGGGGTGGGTGGGTTAGTAGGGTTGCCATGCAGATGGAAGAACAATGTGAAGAGCTTTTATTCATGAGGGGTTGTGAATGCAAAAAAAACATCTTGGAAATTGTTTCTGTCTTGTTCCTTCAAAGTGTTTTGTAATGAGTCTTGCAAGCCATGAAATTTTCAATACTACAATGATTCTGCCCTCTCATTTCTCACAGTGTGCCTCTATGAATTAGCTGCTTGCATATATAATGACAGCTTGAGCTAAAAGAAGCTCATGAATGCATGATAGGCTGTCTGTCCTAAAGTCTTGGACTCCCCAAGATTCTCCTGTACAATATTTTACTGGAGACAGTTTACAAATGGTAGTATTATAGAGACTCCTGGCCATTTAATAGATAGAAGTGCTACTGAAATTCAGGGGAGGGTATTGTTAGGGATTTGAATTTACTCAACATTTGTATGCTTCTCAAACTAAACATCATGTCTCTGCACCCACTGAAGTAAAAGTTATTTTCCAGTTTGGGTAACAGTCAAGATAGGAAGAGTAGCCTCTTGTTCTCATTCTCCCCCCCCCCCCCCCCCCCCGGTATTCCTGTGTTGGAGTTATTTTATTTTTTAGTCCTTTGTATGTGTAATCTAAAGGGGCCAGTACAGTGTAATGGTCTGAGTGTTGGACTATGGGCCTTTGCAGACTGCCAGAAATAGTGCACATTAAATTGAGGCACTGCCCTGGCTCAGTTCTAGGGAATCATGGGAACTGTAATTTATTGTGGCACCAGAGCTCTCTGACAGAGAAGGCTCAATGTCTCAGAAAAAAATACAGTTCCCATGACTCCCTAGCACTGAGCCAGGGCAGTGCCTCAATTTAATGTGCACTATTTCCGACACTTTGCAAAGGCCCAAAGACTCTAGAGACCAGGGTTTGAATCCTGGATCAGCCATGTAAACCAGCTTTCACAGCCTCATGGGATGGCAATGGCAACCCCTCTCTGAGGAAAATTGCCAAGAAAACAGCATGATATGTTTGTCTCAGGGTCACCATAAGGCAGAAATGACTTAAAGGCACACAAGAACAACAAATGTAATCCTTGGCCTGGTTTAGGGGGGGGTTGCAGACTGCCAGAAATAATGCAAATTGAGTCCACT